CAGGCAATAATAAATTGCTATTTATTTATTTCAGCGATTACCATTTCACACAATAGTTAAATTCTAGTAACAATCAGTCCTAGTTAGTGGCAGGTGCCTCTGTGAAAGTCACGACTTACAACACACAACTATATAAATAGTGAATGTTTGTTGTTTGAATATTTACTGTGGCTTCTACACTTCTATAACCATGAATGACCGGAGCGAAAGATTGCTGCTCTAAGAGAGAGGAGAGCGAAGACTGTGTGCTTGCATTCCACACCAATCCGAGAGATGGCCTTTGTCAAACACACACATGCAAAGTTTCAAACAGACAGACAGGAAGAGGAAGGGATTCAGCTGCCTGCTCTGCATGCAACTAGCAAAATGAAAGCTAGGTGCACTCACTGTGAAAGGAATAGTTTGACGTTTGGGCAAATATGTTAAGTTATCTGTCACATCTTCATTGTGAAGCCAGAGCAGACAGTCAGTTAGAATACTTTAACCCAGGGTTGGGAAACGGGTAACTAGGTCTGTCTATACTAAAGTAACAAAGACTGTTTAAAAAATATATATAAAAGGAAATTTCAAAAAACAAACAAACAGACATGTCTCAATCAGCACCACCAAGTGTGATGTGACATATTTGTACAAGCACAATAGAGGCATGTTATAGTGGAGTCTAAGTTCTTCAATGCTGTTTCCATGCAGGGTTCTGGAAATACACACTATCCCACCACAGAGCCCCCTTCTGCCCTGTACATTGCCCCCAACCATGAAAGAGTCCATTTAAAGCTTCAGAGGCTGGGCATGACCTGAGTTTACTGTCTAAGGGGTATTAGCCTAAATCCTTGTGTGTCCAGTCAGGGAAAACTGGTCATGGGGAGTTGGTGAGGACTGTAGGACCCTGTTGAAGGTGCAGAGCCTGAAGAGATTATTTTGCTCCCAAATTAGTTTGAATTTCTGGGCAAAAACACTCATCACATATGAAGGAAGTGTACGTTTTCTTATAGGTTTATTTGAATTTATTCGGATCGCTCTTCCAGCTGAAATGCTGTAAGGTTCTTTCTTTTTTTGTTTTTTCAGGTTGTCCCTCAAACTCACAAACAGGAGTCGGTGTGTGTAGTTTCCAGTATTTTTCTTGTGTGGGTAGAACCACGCAGGAAAGTATTTTGGTGGGCAAACTCGGGGAAAAAAGATGCAATACTGAAGAGGCAAGTAGAATTTCAAGCATTCCCCTAAATCCTTGTGCCTTCACTTTAAATAGCCAGGAGAGAAACTGTGTCTGGTAGATTAACATCAACATAAAACATAATTAATTCAACACAAACACCTAAGCAAGGTCACTTCATATCGCATTATAAACTATTATTGTAACATCTGACTAAGTAAAGCAGCAATTTAGCGAAGTTTTCAAAATTTCATTTTTGCTCAGTTCAGGTCATATTTGGTCCATAAATGAGGATAAAAGTGCTAATTCTTTGCCCAAACAGGCCCGGATCTTCACACCTCAAACCTAACCATAATCTGGTAACTGGCACTAGGCCAGAACTTCCTTACTCTCGGTCCGCTGTTGACAACACAGCTGAGTACCAGGAACAGCACGGTTGTGTGCTGGTCCCTTACAAAGCCTACACACAGCTTTGCAGACCTACACTGTGCACTGTTACCAGAGTTTAGAGTCAAAAACTGCTCTTCTTCACATTTTTGCTGTTGTTGGTGTTTTAGCTCAGCCGCTGATGAAGTGAAGGAAGAATATACAAAGAATTATTTTAAAGTGAAGAGGAAGAAAGTATTAAAAACAACAAAAACTTGCAGTAAACTGTCACCGTGTCTCTTTCTAAGCCAGGATCACTGTCACGTGACTTACAGATCTCAAGAGGTTTCACACACCTGTTTGGGCATCTTGGTCACGATCCTTACACCTGACACTCACCGTGTTTTTTTGGGGGGACTGCTCAAAAGTACATCTGCAAAGGTCATTCTGACAAATACCTACACAAACGCAGTACCACAAATCCCGCATTAGCCTCATTTAGCCTCAGCTAACTACCCAAATCAGGATATCTCCTTAGGATTTAATATCAGTGATTACAAATAGAAAACCCCTGCCTCTGGTCTTGTTCATGCCTTAATCACACGTCAAACACCATTTCCACAACACTGTTCATCACCAGACCTCACCTGCCTGTCCTGCTCAGCACTGACAAAAGCATTTATAGTTTTTTCTGTGCAAAGACCAAAATGCATTGTTGTTGTTGTTGTGTGGCAGGAGGGGGGAGCGAGCCCACCTTGTGCCAAGTCTACAAGAAATTTCATGAAGTAGAGGAAATCAGAAGACTACAGATTAAGTCTGGGAGATTTACAGGCTTGTTGTTGTTGTTTGTTGTCATGTTTTAATACCACACTGATGGCACAGCAGTAAGAACTTACATACACTTTTCCAGAGGATGTTACTTTAAGTGGACACCTTCATATATGCAATGCTTTTTTTTTCTTTCTTTTTTTAAATACTGAAATACAGTTGACATATACTATCCAGATCAACTCAGCTCATGTGCCATGATTGTTATTGCTTTCTACTGCGTCCACCAACCAGTTTCCTGGCTGTAGTAACACATGTCGAGTTAGCAGGCATAAAAACTATCAAAATGAGCTTTGGAAATAAAACAAACAGTAATACTGTGTTTTCTGAGAGAGACAGAGAAGCAGTGCAGCAGTGATGGAAATAAAAATAATAGATCTAACACCTCCACTTAAAAGGAGCATGCTGCTTCTATATTGAGCCTTAACGTCTCCAAATGACTCTGTTTGATTTTCCAATAAATCACTGAAAGGCTGCTAAGCTTTTTTTCTTTTGGGCTGAAATGAGAATCTTACTCTGCATCCCAAAGCTGTAAGTGTGTCTGGATGAGAGGATTGGCTAAATGACAAGTAGGAGCATCAATATCTCCCACGGGGGCCTCTCTGCATTTAAAATGTCCTACTGAGAAAGACAGGGGCCTTTTTCTAATTGTGTCATTTCCTCAGATTTCTTACAGAGGCAGCCACAGCCTTTCATCTTCATCTCTCTCACTACCTGAAACTCTTTTACAGTTTTAGTAGTCCATGCCCTGCTTTTCACCTCTTTCCTTGCATTTTATTAACGGTGCGATTGAGCCACCTCTGATATGTCAAACATCACGATTTCATCACAAATTATTAACGATCTGCATCTTTAGTCCCTGAAATAATGCTCTCAGCACAGTCAACAGATACTGAGTCAGTGCTCCACACTCCACATTTTTTCTCTTTCTCCATGCAGCAGCCACATTCCCGCTTCCTCAGGCTGATGTGTTACACTGGAGAGGGGAGGGAGGATCGAGTGTCCGCCGTTCCTCCCATCACCTGTGAAATTTCAGAGCCAGGCCACGGTGAAAGGGGGTATTGTGTCCCCTGATGAGGAATGCCCTCGCGTCGCTCGTCAAAGAAAAGGCCTCATTTGGCCAGGAATTTGGAGGGACCTCGAGAGGTGTAGGGAGATTTTCTCAGAGGTGGGGATAGGAACCTGGATGTTTTCACGAGGCTGGACAGGAGAAGGACAGATCTTAACTTGAGTCTCTGTGACAGTAACAGATCAGAATTCATACAATATAAACAAACAAGAACACTGTAAACTTGTTTTTCTTAGAAAATGGTCAGTTACATTAGACAGGTTTTTTTGTATTATTAAAACACGCTTAGCTTTAATCACATCGCACTGTTTTGTTTAATAATAAAATACAATATAACTGTGGTTTAAGGGAGAATCTGGAAGTTACTGCTGAACCTGCTTAGAGCAGTCAGACTAATCAGAGTCTGATGTAGTGAGTATGCCACCTGCTGGTGAAAAATCACCACTAACGCATTATACTGCATAGAGCTGTGAATTTATTGTGCCTCTGAATTTTTTTATAGCATTTATACATGGATTATACTAAATGATATAGAATCCATGACCGGGAAAGAGCAATTAGCATAAAAAATATTGTTTTCAGCAATTTTGTAACAAATTTCTATGAATCGATATCTACGTATTGTGATTTAATAATTTAAAAAAAGAAAAAATAAGATTTTTTTTGGTACAGGAAGCTTAAATAAGCTTCTTCTTCTTTTTTTAAATCGTAATGTATCAGCTGGACGTGTGGGTGCACAAGAAACCTCGAAATGAGCAGGCACGCTGACAGGTTCCCGTATTTGTTTATTTCCTCGATTTTGTCGTTGTATTTTGGAGGTAGTCATTGGAAGTGTCCGCGTACTCTCACCTTTGGCTTGACGAATTTAGTCATTCATTGTAACCACTAGAGGGCGATAAAAACACGCATCTTCAAGTAGCCATCTCTGTGGGAAATGAGAAGGTATCATGTCAGTCTTTACTGTAACACGTTATCTGCTTATTAATTCGACTGCTTTGCTCAGGTTTACCTCCCATTGTCAGTCTTCACTTGAAGCCACTAGTGCGCATCATTTTAATACTTAAATCAGTATTAAAATGATGCGCACTAGAGGAACAAGGAATACAGAATGCGAGCTATAATTTAAGTTCATCTATAAAACATGAGACCAAAATTAACCATTTATTGTTACCGTGTATGTTCTATAGTGGTCTAACTGAATGACTACACCAACTACTTCCGGTATTTCCTTCATAATAAACACTAGAGCTTTAGCTTTCAAATAAGTGATGGAAGAAGCTTCAGTGAGCTATGTATTACTATCAAATATTACATATTAGTACATTTTAAAATTATATTTACATATATGCGTGTTCTGTACGAGAACACGCATATATGTATGTAGGAAGGGGACTCGCAAAAAGAAGTTAGACATTTTATACTCCAGTCCACAGGGTGGCGCTAATGCACATTCCTGATGCTGTCACATGGTATAAGAAGAAGAGAATACGGAAGTGGGTTTGTTTACTGGCTGGTTTTGGAGGCAAGTTTCTGATCAGAAAGGTTTATTGCGGTTCGGAACTCTGTTTTATGTTTTAAAATCTTTACTTCGGTTCTCGAAAGTGTCCAGAACATATAAAGGCTGAGATAAATTAGCTTAACGTTAGCTCCGTGTAGCACCAGCGTTAGCGGCACATGACGGTAAGGACTTAGTCATCGTGGAGTAGAGCAGCTATTGGAGGAAAGGCATATTAAACTTGGCTTTGCTAGTGAAAAAGCAGCACGTCTTATATCGCTTCACTTCAGCTTTTTTTTTAAATGACCATAATTCATTAATTAATTCAGCATCATTTGTTTAAATAAATACCAACGTTTTTCTATAAACGAGCCTAAATAAACCTAGTACCTCAGCCGGCAGTCACGCACATTTCTAATTGTCTTTAATTATCGATTGCTAGGGGTTGAACAGAGGCTTGCTCAGCCTGTTAGAAGCACGTGTCAGATGTCCAGTCTAATACATCAGCGTTAGTATCAGACTGATGTGCTGCATCTGGTGTAACCTAAATCTTCACTACTCGTATGGTCACAGGACTATTATATATGATTGTATGCGAAGGCTGGCACCAAACTAAACGATTTAGATATTGAACATAGGGCCGGTCAAAAGCATCAGCGGGGCAGACAGTATCAAGAGGCATTGCACCACCAGTTAGGCTGTGAAATTGCTCTTTTAGGTGAAAGGTTGCTTATTAGGTAGTGGTTATCACTGGACACAGGAGGTGAGTGCTGCTCACTGTTGGAGGTTTGTGAGGTTAACTTGCTGCCATTTCTCTTACTGCTGTCCTGCAGCAAAATGAATGAAGACCCAGTTCAAACAAACTGCAGTAAAACACTGCTTGTCCACCACTTACCAGCTGAGCTCAGCAAGGAAGAGAAGGAAGACCTCCTGAAGTATTTCGGAGCTGAGTCAGTCAGAGTCTTCTCAAACAGGGGCCGTTTGGTACGTTTCTCCTCACCGATTATCCCATGAGCTGTATCATCCGGACATTCATTTGAGTTGCCAGGCAGTCTGAACATGTTTGTCCATTTCCACAGAAACATGCAGCCTTTGCAACGTTTAGGAGTGAAAAGTCAGCGGCAAGGGTAAGAGTTTTGTTTGAGACTTCCTCTGGTTTTTCTCTCACTTTGTCCTGTATGGTCTTTTTCAGTCCCCTTAACATCTTTTTTTTTATAGGCTCTAAGCAGACTCCATCAGTTAGAGGTTCTTGATCAGACACTCATTGTGGAGTTTGCAAAAGGCCAAGATCACATAACAGTGCTAAAGGACCCGCCTGTGTCAGAAAGGTGAGCTGTCTGAATAACCCCGGGCTGCACAGACCTTCATTCTTATGTAAATTGATGGACTGTTAATGCCTCTGTCAGTTAACAGCAGATGATTGCATCCCTTGTATTGGTCTGAACCTCCCCTCTGCCTTTCTGTAGTGGTGAAAATGTCAAACAAGAGCAGAAGAAGCAGGAGAGCAAAAAGCCAAATATTCCCATCATAGAGACGGGCGTTGCACCGAGTCTCGGGTAAGAATGAAAGCATGTCATCATGAAGCTGGTGTGACATGAGGGAAGGAAACATTTTATTTTTATCACTTGTTTTGTTTTTTATTTTATTTTTTTGGCTGATGTTATTCTCTAGTGCATTATTCATTAGATACCTTGTAGATTTCTAGTCTTTGTTCTTTTTTCCATTTTGTGGGGTTAAAAAAAGAAAACAAAAACACTATATCGCATTCTGCCTTTTGGTGACAGGCCCTGTCTCCCATTACCCAGAGTTTGTGAGTCATTACCTGCCCAAACTCTGTCTTATTCGATTAAATATGCATGTGTGACACATGTTCTCCAAACTGCGGTCAGAGTGTTGCCAGTTTGGCTATGCAGAAACTGCCTGGAGGCTGGCTGACAGTAAACCTGGATGAGAATCTGAGAGCTGTAGTTGGGAGCTGTCAAACGCCTTGTGTCCAATTAGATAGCCAGGCCGCCACTGAGAGCCTGACAGGCCGTCTGTCCTGCCAGTTGGTGGGACCAGGTGGTCTTTGATACCTTTCACTCCATTTCTGACAGTTTGTCTTGCTGCTGCTGCTACAGCAACCCAGACTTAAGAGCTCCATATTCTAATACTAGTCTGCACAAACTGAGAGAATGTGCTGTCTGGTTAGACGAGTATATTGCATTTAGGTGTGTTAGAGCTTGTAGAAAGGTTGGATTAGGGACAAATTGAGATGTCCTGCTAGCTGCACTTGCTGGTTATTTTGAGCTTGAGTTCACCAATGACGGCGTATTTTAAATCTCCTGTACAGCAAAAATGTGATTGCAGAAGGAGAACTCTGATGTTTTTCACTGTTTTTCACTAGTCTTTGGTTCCTTTTATGGACTAAATAATACATTGAGGGATATTAAGTGAATTTAAAATACATTAATCTGTGCTTTTAAAAAAGGGGGACTCTAAAATAGTGGTCAGCTATGCTCATTTTCTTAATTCAATCATTGTATAAGCAGAAAGGCTAGAACTGCATTTTGTACACATTTACATTTTTGCAATTTGTTCTGTGGCAAATTCTATGCTAATAATTAAGAAAACAATTTTACGTTGTTTTCTTTAGAAGAAATAAGTAAAGTCTGTTTGAGTAGGTGCAAATCAGACAGACTCAAATGCCAGCGGGTGAAATAAGCTTCAAGATTTTAATAATATCTTTAGCATCATAATGCATGTAATGATTACAGAGTTGAAACCAGATATTTAAACCCTTTCAATCAGATGACGTCCAGGATGTAATATAGATTTATTTTACTGTGGAGAGCTGTGGCTCAAGATGTGTATTTGAGTTGCCGCAATGAATTTAAAAACATTTTTTATGGAAGTCATGGATGAGCTGATTGGATTTTTGTGGGCAAAGGTCAGCTTCACTGTGATATGCTGATGTGTTGCAAAACATGTATTTTTTTTCCTGGCCATTAATAATTAAAGAGCAGAAGGGGAGATTTTAATCATCTTGCAAATTTCACATTGATGCAAACTGGAAAAAACTGAGCTGGGAGAGGCATACAACCACAGTCCGACTTTATCGGCGACCCCTACTAGCTGTTTGCTGCTAGTGATCAATAATATTAGCTGCATTTATAATGGTCGGTAAGGGAACGTTTTAAAAGTAAAGAGGAAATGGGAGAAACACCCTTCAACTATATTATGAGTCTCGATGTTTCATAGTTTGCCCACCAGAGGGCGCTTTGCAACATCCCTGTTTTTCAATTTTAAACACAAGAGTTTGGAACCACAAGCACAACAACCAGCTGATCCAGTCAAGTCGGGTAAATAAATGACTACATGTTGCAAATGTTTGGAAAATCTAAAAAAAAAACACAAAAAAAAACAGTGGTTCAAAAGAATGACTTTTTAAAATCCTTAAATATCAGTATCGGTCGGGCTCTGTGGTTAAGTCCTTAACTTCAGCTTGCTTTCATTCTAATTGGAGAAGTTGTGGTTGAGCGCTGGAACAAAGGAGAAATGTTTGTGGGGAAAAACATCTTGCTGATGACGTGGCTTCAAGCCGCAACACAACAGACTCTACATTCACAAAATCAAATGATGACGAAGGTGAGTTGGAGTGCTGTTAAGGCACCATTTACCAGGCCTCCGCACCTTTAACTGCTGTTTCTAGTGGCAAATTAAATAACTCTCTCCTACCTTCAGTCTTTGCTCATTAGTCTGCTGTGCTGACACGGCATGGCTTGTGCTTTTAATCTTAATGATAGGCCTCCTAGCAAGAGGTAGGGCCACTGCCTGGGCCACACACTGATGTGTGACTGTTTTGACATATAGTCATGTGAAGAAGTTTATCCCATAAAAAGTGTTTGAGAAAGCAAACGCGTGATTATCTTTGAACAGTGCTTATAAAAAGAACAAAAAACAAAACAGGGATGTGTTACATAATTGTCTGCCAGTCTCTGACATCATCTTGCTTTAACTTTTGACCAATTTATATGCAATATTCATTCATTCTCAGGATGTTTGAGGGTTTTCTTGCATGATTTAATCCCATGATTTCAGTGGGATTAAATCTGAGCTTTGACGAGACCGTTCCTTCTCCTCTACCTCTCCGTTTCTCATGCCGAAACCATTTTTTGGTGGATTTGCTGCTGTTCTTAGGATCATTATCCTCTTCAAAAGTCACTTCTGGTTCAGCATTAGTTCTTGGAGCAGATGGCCTAAAATGATCTTCAAGCAGTCCTTGGTGTGATGCAGACTTTACAGTTGAATCAGAGACTGCAAGGGACATGCTCCGTAAAGCCATAAACTAACAGCGTAACCCCAAAACACTGTTTTTGATTTGCTAGTACAGAGCACATTATTCCTAAAGGTTGGGTGTTTTCCTGTCTGGTCACCGGCCAAGCGTGGTTTAGTCCTTTCTAGGATTTCTTGGCTTCAGACCGTTTCCGCCTGTCGTTCCCCAGAGCAGACTCGGATCACTTGTGCTTTAATCTGGATTCCAATTTTAGATTTGAAGGTGAAGGAGATAAATATAGAAGTGTACATGCTTCGTTCCCGTTTGACTGCTTTGTGTATAGAAATTGAGAAAATGACTGAATTTGTTTAGAGTACATCACCTTCATCTGTATGCACTCATTTGAAATGGATCGAGTGTTTGCTCCTTCAGATGTATTCAAAACGTCAGTTGTTTCCACGCTAATTTCCATACTTTTTTTTTCTCGTGACTGTTTTTCAGTGAAGGCTTTATTGTGTTTAAGGCAGGGAGTTGCAGGTTTAAACTAACACTCTTTTTTTCCCCCCTCTCTCTCTGTCTCCTACAGGTTGAAGTTTCAATCAAATCCCACTTTGAAATATTTATATCCACCACCCTCTAATGGCATTCTGACAAATATAACACACGCCCTCATGAGCGTGCCAAAGTTTTATGTTCAAGTGAGTAAACACAGCTTCCTTTGTGTGGTTTTATTTGTTATTTTACCTTGATGCACAGATGCTGGCCATAATAATGATGTCCCTGTGTTCATTTTTGGTAAGTGGCAATTAGTGCAGGAAAAAAAAAACTCAAGCTAATGTGACAGCATTTCGAGTCCCTACATTTATATTGTAAAATAGGAATATGATTCTAGAATAAGTGTCCCAGAGGTTTTTGAACTGCATCCAGGCTCTTAAAGATCAAACAGCAAACATTTGCCTTTTAAATCTCAATTTGGGAAGCAAGTATTAATAATAAACCATAAGTGGGCGGCATGAGTTATGGGTTTAACATTTCCCTGGGAGCCGCGCTGCCTGGATTTTAATTGCTGCTGTTCCCCGTGTCAGCAGCTTGGTGGTGCTAGTGTGTTTCGGAGAAGCTCTCCCGGTGCTCTGCCTCATTGTAGGCATCTCACTCGAGCCTCAATCTCACCTTGATCCTCGTATTTGTATGCGAAAGCCTGGAAATCTGTTTTACATATGGAGCCCGAGTTTCCGGCTGCCTGTTTGAGAGCGGCAATATATATTTATATTACCTGCTCTCTCCCCCCAGCCTGTGCTATGAATTTTCACTGTTCTCAAACTCGCATCTCAAACTATACAGGTACTTCATCTGATGAACAAGATGAATTTGCCATGTCCTTTTGGCCCAATCACAGCCAGACCACCCATGGTAAGCTTCTGTACACCATCACTGAATGTAAAGCTCTTTCCAAGTGTGTAAATGTGAAGATTTTTGCTTTTTTTTTTTTTTTTTTTTTTTTTTTTTTTTTTTTTTAAAAGCAGGTGTTATGTTTCACAAAATGTACTTCTGAGAGTTAGACAGCTTGTTAAGGCAGTAACACTCAGCTGTGTGTCTTTAGGTTGATGAGCAGAACTATAGATCCCTACCTTTCCTTAACTTTTTGACTCTCCCAAATACGGAGACTGAAAGTTCTTAAATGTAAAAAGAACATGTTTGAGCAGTAAATGTGAGCACTTTTCCCAGATCAGCCAAAATATTCCTACTTTCTCTCCATTCATAGTTCATATTCTTTTTTTTTTTGTCAAAATGCACATATAAATATACAAATGTACTAGTTAGCTTGTTTATTAATCATCAGAACTTTCATGTGTTCACGTCACACTTTCAGATGCAGGAACACTTTGGTATGATCAGTATTTCTACACTGAGTACTCATAAAAGGTATTTTATGAGTACTTTATTCAGACACAGTCTGAGTAAACTAATAATACACAAACAGGGAAAACTAATGAGTAAATATTCACATTCAGAACTTCTCCAAAAACTACTTTGAGTTTGGTGTTTCAGTAAAGCAGATGCAGGTGCTGCTCTTCCCTCAAATGATTGGTTGGCATGAACCATACCTCAACAAAATCACAGCAGGCTTTATACCCAAAGCTGGAGAAGGCTGCAACGGCCGTTCTAAAGACCTGAGTGCTCATCAGTCTGCAAAGTGCCTACAAATAGGACAAATTCAGGACAGGTTGCTACTTTAGCTGAAGTGGAGTGGGCAAAGATCACACAAGAACACAGTATGCAGTCCTGCAAGAAGTGAAAAAACAACCCGAGGGTAACATAAAACTACCTGCAGAAATCTCTTGGTAAACTTGTGAAATCCTTTTTGATGTCTCAACTGTTAGAAAAGCGCTGAGAAAGAATTGTGTTAATGGAAGGACACCCCAAAGCGCTACAGTCCACAAAAAAGGTTTGCAAAATAGGAAAAGAGAAAAGAAAATTCAATTCAATTCAATTCAATTTTATTTATATAGCGCCAAATCACAACATAAGTCGCCTCAAGGCGCTTCATAGATACAGAGAAAAAAAACCCAACAATCATATGACCCCCTATGAGCAAGCACTTTGGCAACAGTGGGAAGGAAAAACTCCCTTTTAACAGG